GGCTTTAGCATTAGCTCGTAGCCTCACCATAACCCCCGCCCGGCATCCTCTCCTCTTAAGCCGGGAGCAGCGCTTCCTCTTCTGCCCGCTGGAACGCCTCTGCTGCAGCTTCCAGGTAGATGACTTTAAGATCTGCATTCTGCCGAGCGTAGCTTTGAGTTTGTTGCTGATTTCTGCTATATTTCGTGGCAAATCCGCTCCTATTCTCATCAGTTCGGTTCGGCTATAGTTCACACGCATAAATCGCGCGGAGTCAGGCACGGAGTCAATATCAAAACTTCTAAAAACTGGGATGGTACCGGGAGCCTGTGAAGCTGCAACTGCTCTGAGCGCGGCCATCTTGGAATTTATGTATGTATATATATATGTATATATATGCATGTATGTATATTTATATATGTATATATATGTATATATATGCATGTATGTATATTTATATATGTATATATATGTATATATATATGCATGTATGTATATTTATGTATTTATATATTTATGTATGTATATATATGTATATAAATGCATGTATGTATATATATGTATATATATGCATGTATGTATATATGTGTATATATATGCATGTATGTATATATGTATATATATGCATGTATGTATATATATTCATGTATGTATATATATGTATAAATATGTATGTATGTATATATGTATATATATGCATGTATGCATATACAGTGGGGAGAACAAGTATTTGATACACTGTTGATTTTTCAGGTTTTCCCACTTGCAAAGCTTGTAGATAACTGTAATTTTTATCATAGGTACTCTTCAACTGTGAGTGATGGAATCTAAAACAAAAATCCAGAAAAATACAATGTATGATTTTTAAATAATTAATTTCCATTTTATTGTGTGAAATAAGTATTTGATACACCAGAAAAATGAAACTTAATATTTGGTACAGAAACCTTTGTTTGCAATTACAGAGATCAGACGTTTCCTGTAGTTCTTGACCAGGTTTGCACACACTGCAGCAGGGATTTTGGCCCACTCCTCCATACAGATCTCCTCCAGAGCCTTCAGGTTTCGGG